TTGAAGTTTTACGGTGACACATGACACGGATTTTGTTATCTCGGTGCTGAAGAATGCACTATTATAAAACTTCTTAATGAAATTGTTTTCTTATTGTCGCATCTATAGGTGTATGATTGCATAATTAATGGCTGACACTGAACACCCTGTTTCTTCACTTACATTAGTGGCAACACATAATGTCAATCTAAATTTGCCGTTCACTTTCCAATGTTCATTCCACTTCTTTGTGTTTACTTGGCTTCGAATGATAACAGCATTACTGAGAAAAATAATGATTTCGAAAAGTCGTGAATATTTTTAGTCTTTTTCATGTCAAGTCATATAGAGTCCTTGCATGGCTCGTGGTCGCTAACCCGCGCAATTTCGCTTCGGCGTATAAGCTCGAGTGTTCGTGGAGTCGGACGTTCCATAGTTACTTTGAACTCTCGGCTTTGACAGCGTAATTATGAAGAGAATGGATGAGTTAGTATTATTCCTCACCGATATGTTCAAGACGGTTTATCCCAAGATCGACTAATGTTTGAGTTAATCCCATTTTATTGTTATTTTTGAATTTTTACTCACTAGCTTTAGGTGTTTTCTCTCGTTTCAGGGTAAAAGGAAAGCTACGCAACGCAGGCGACGCTGAGTGGTATAGAATTATGAAGCAACAGCAACATCTGTCAGGCAGAAATTTTGGATCTGTTGGAATGTGGTCTTTTCCTTATGGCATTCTCTATAAAAGCACTCTCACGTCCATAGCTAAAAGTGGGGTTCAGATTTGAGTTACCTTGGATGGTTTTGGTCATCGTAGTCAACTCAAGCAGCCTTTTACACTCTTTGTTTCACTCCAGTTTGCGAAAACCTAAGTGACGCTCTTCAGCGTCCTTTCTTCGTTCTTTTTTTATTTCGTTGAAATCTCCAGTAATGACCTTAGATAATTTATGGTCTTATCTTAGATACTTACACTGACCACGCAGAAACCATTGACTTCGTCTTCGTTTTCAACTAATTCTAGTGTGTACTTAGTTTTCCATTACTTTATTGACTTTCTTCACAGTGATTTTTCACTGTGGCGGATCTCAGTATTCCTAGCATTCAATTTGTTTTTTCGTCTTCTTCTTAAACGTCGTAAAATACTGGTTAAGTGAGTCTTCTTGAAATCTCGAGTATAGTCTGGCTGTGGCGTTCCATGATGGGTTGTTGTTGACTGCCGGAGAAGGTTGGAGGGTGGAGCTCGGCTCAACGCATGCTTGAACGAGCATCACAACCACTCGCCCACGGCACCCCCTAATGCTGATATGTGAACAATGAAAATTATCAAAGCTGTTATTGACCACATTGTTTCAACCGTCAGCTTCCAATTTTGATTGTTAGTTGTTTGAAAGAATCGTTGTATATGACCATGCGTTCTAACTAAGACGCCATTGCCAACTTCTCTGCTTTCACATGTCAAGAGAGCCCATTTTGGTGGGTCGTAGACGGACGGAATGGATAGTGGTTTTTTGTCTCGGTTAGATCGACGATATTGTACCCTGCTACTTTTGACTCCATACTCTGGCCTTCCGCAGAGGATTTGTATACAAATGTACGTACACTATAAGTTCAGATAATATCTTAATCTGCTGCGATTTAGCTGGCTCAAATTGGTTCTGAGAGTTTGGCAGTCTCTCCATACGGGGAGCTCGTCCATATCAGTGCTGCATTACCAAGGGCTCTTTCGCGGTCAGAGAATTGAGATTAATTTCTTCATCATGTTTACCTTTTTTGTAGCTCACATTTTGCTTGCTGAGCTCTGAAGATGAGATTTAGGTACTCATGGGTATCATGCAAGTCTATCCTGGATAGAGTGAAGTGCATAATCATTAGTGCGCCTTCTGACCAATATCTGCATACATTTCCGCTATTCAATTTTGATCCTTCGTTAGTTTGAATCATAAAGATGAAGCTATGTCACATTGACGCTGCAGAAAAAGGAAGTTCGTCCTGCGGATCCACCTGAGTTTCTGAGAGGCGCATGGCGGCATTTAGTCCGCCTTCAGTTCTCCTATGTACTAGCAAGACGCGCCGCATGCCTTCAAAATTAACCGGGAACAGAACTCTCTGCGAGCAAGAATCAGTATGACCCATAAGAAAGTAAAATACATTTCAAAGTTTGCTTAGATGAAAGTGCATGAGGTCCGCTGATAATTAATTTTGAGTACTGCATTTACGAAAAGAGTCAAGTGAAATGAAGAGCAAAAACTAAGAAATTCCACCATGAGCAACCTTGCGTCCGTCCAGAGCAGTATTTACTTGGATAATGGAAATAAGATCTTCTGTTCAGAGTTCACAGACATAGTCGTCAATCGCGTGAGCAATTTCCAGTACATATATCAACTTATAGGTGATGATCTGTGCTTGAAAATCCGACAGAATTGGGATTCTACAATGACCCACTCAGCACGCATATACTCCGTACTGTCCATATGGTAGCAGTGGATGAATCATGCACCTTCTTTACCACATTGATTCGCTGATCGAAAACAGACCAACTGAGAGGCCAGAAAAGCCATTTTATGCACTCAGTGATCTGCAGAAGCCTTCTTCCGGAGAATTTATAGGCCGATAATTCTACTGGCACAATTTTGCGCGACTTTATTTTACTCTCTGCAGTTCTTGTATAAAATATTCAGCTATACAAGTTTTGAAATAGATCCAAAATGAGCTAAAAAAAACCTTCCATTTGTTGACAGCAGTGCATTCGCATGTTTGACCGTAGCAACACGTAGTCTACTGTGCATGCCATTCATATCCATAAAAGCGGTTGAGCAAATGGAGTGTCTGTGTGAGGTGAGTTATGCAATGGACGACAAACTCTAGAAAAAAGGCGGCTTTTTGGATTTGGCATAAGGAAAACTCATTGCACAATGAGCGCCGTTATTGACGCGCAGATTGGCTGTTCTTGAGAACACACAGTAAAAAAGGCCAATTTGTTCGCCTTTTAAATACAAGCTTGTCCTAAATATTCAATCTTCTTTACAACCACTACCTAGAGTTGCATGTCATGTTTACTTCAGAAGAGATGCAAACCCGTGCCGTCATCGACGATCTTTCTTTTCGTGATTTTCGTTGCTTCAGCACAAACGAGGTTTTCAATACAAGTTTATTTTGCACAAAGTAGTACAATAGAGATCGTATTTAGAGATGCGGCAGACACACCTCGTCCATGTAAGACACAGTGCGGCTGGTCTACATATATAGTGGACACCATTACAATAAAACGGTCTGGCTCTGAGGAAAGCAAGACTGCTGAAGCGTTAGCCACGGCTCGATCTCTATTGTACTGCTTTGTACAAGATAAACCTATTAAAAAGCTCTAGTGCGCTCAAGCAAAGAGGAATCACGAAATATTTCATTATATGCCGAGGTTAATCAATAGTTGGTCTTCGGAAGATCTTTCTTTTCCACTTCGTAACAAGAGGGGATAGTACAAGATTTTTGTTACATATAGAACTGAAACCGTTCTAAGGAGAAAATTTTACTAACAATACACAACTGCTTCAATTTGGAGATTTCCTTCAACAGAGCTCTGAAAATTACAAAGCGAAACCAACGGATTGAAATAGAACGAATGCAACAAGGTGCCCCTTCTAATTTCGTCATGAAAATAATGCTGTGCATGAGTAAAACAAACTGCTAGTCTTGAAGTCCTCTTCTTGATACTATATTCAGAAGACTATAGGAAAGCATATCCTCATCAAAACATCGTAGTTAACTCGTAATTCAATTGTCGTACCTGAAACGTGTTGCTCTTGTGCGAAAAAATGTACTACATATAGCCGTTTTTTTTTGAAAGATTTTACGTTTATGAGAAGGAAATAGATGAAAAAACGTCAAAAAACGGAACCCTACACCATTCCGAATCGGTATATTTATGCTTCTTCATCCAGTATTAGGAAAAGTCTATTTTAGACAATATCGACGAAAAATATAACGAGGCTCATTGTATAACTTCACTGAAGTTCGTAAAAGGGATGAGGAAGTCGCGGAAGATATTATGCCTTTTGACCTTTGCGACACCTCCCATACAGTGTTTCAACAAGCTCTCCCAGTATGGTTCCAAAGCTTTGTAGTTACTTTTGGGCCTTGTTTTATGATTATCTTATCACAAGGGCTCTAAGGCTAGGCAAAGACGCATCGATAATGATACAAAACATTTTCAGCAGCTTGAGAATTCGTCACCTTTACGAACATCATCTTTATCGGCAACAATTTGCGGTGTAATTCTGAATGACAAAGTAGCAGAAGAGGAGGGATAGCTTCCCATGATGATTTTCACATTGTCTTGTTTTTGATAAAAAGATATATGCCGTTTTTCTTAGTATTAAGATACTTGTCGTTTGGCATTTTCAATCGTTGTTCGCGGCGTGATATGCAGAAAGTAAACGATTGCCATTTCATCTAATGTCGATGAGATATGAGGAGGCCATGTGCAATTTACGTGCCTTCATAGTGACGCAATGGGAATCTTTCAACAATTATGCCATCTTCAATGAATGTGCTCCAATTCGATGGAAATTCCAAAAGAAAACAGAGATAAAGGGAAAGAGTGACAAAGATCTGCTACATATAGGATTCCGACTGGATTAATTGAAAACGTATATATGTCCGGAAATTTGCTGAAAAAACCAGTTGTTGGCTACATATCACTGCGCATTAGACCATGAATCTATTGATGAAACAAATATCAATTATCTTGGATTGCTTTTTTGCAGTGTTATGATGTTTCATAAGTACCTAAAAGAATTGAGTGGTGAGCGAAAACATGGTCTCAGGCGGTAATCGTACCCGCGTTTCATCCTATCCGGGAACACGTGTTCTACCACTACACCACCATTCTTGAGTATTATATCTATCAGTGACTGTCAGCTCAACTGGGTTTATAAAGCGAAATCACCTACCCAACCAAACTTGTTAAAGTTTGGTGGCTGATAATTAACATAGAGATGCTGAAGAATGGGTGGTGGCGCAAATATGCCTCGATGGTGTAGTGGTAGAGCACGCTTTCCCGATATGAATGACGCGGGTTCGATTCCCGCCTGAGGCCATGTTTTTGCTCACCACTCAATTCTCTTAGGTATCTATCTTGTTCAGTCGACACAAGGTTGGTAATGGTAATGAATAATTACTAATTTAGTTTCTTACTTTTAATCAATGATACAAAGTGATTTGCAAAACCATTGGCGTCAGTGGCACCTCACACCGCTAAAAGCAGTCAAATAAAAGTATTTTGATTGTTTATTACTTTTATTTTTTAGTTTTAATACCTTATAAAAGTTTCAGTATTTTATATTCCAATAATTTAGTAATCAATAATGAGTAATTAAGAGGTAATTGTATTGATAGTAGCAGCTCGACGACTGATGTTTCGGCGACTTCGCCTTCCTCAGAGCCTGGATGGATTTTGTATACAACAGAAACTCATGCGTCCACGCTCTGTATAGTCTTATCGTTGGAAAGTGCTTCGATTGCTTTAGTTTTATTGGTGATTGTACTAGAGTAGTTAGGTTTTGCTGCCTGTTGTGAGTGGGTGTGTGCTGTGTACCGGATGGGTTAATTCTTCCTGCCACGTGGGTCTTTTACTAATTATTGAATGAAGAACAGTATTGATCCAGAAACCAGCGGACCAAATTCATCGCCGTAACAAACAGTCTATAACAAGTAACAATTACAGCATAATTGCAATTGAAGAAACAACAATCACGACATGTAACGCAATGCTAACAGTTCATGATGATGCAATGGATGTGAGCCTAAGTGTAAGATGCCCCGAACTCCAGATCTTCAGATGAATGAGAGGAGCTAAATATTGTAGGAGCAATGACTATTCACATAGGCATTATACAACGGCATAAACTACAGTACGCTATGACCAGGATAATCTAGAGCCAAGAGAGGTGGAAGTTGCAGCCGAGCTCAAAGTGGCGTCTGTAGACGAACGGAACTGCTGTGGGTGCGACTATCTGCCAATCGTCCGTAAACGTTCCCTGGTACTTGACTGACAAAGCACAGTTTGGTCGCCAGCTGCAAGTCGAAAAACGAGCAACCCGCCATCCAAAGGCACCAAGGGCTGCTATAACTTATCGCCTGACTTTCTTGGTTATCTACTATGAGATATTGACTATTTGATGACATGCGGCAGAAATAACCGTAGAAGTGGAAGGAAAGTAGCATTTATTCGAGGGAATAACTGCTACAGGCTGTGAAAATGGAGAAGTCTCCGAAACGTTAGCCGTCGAACTACTATTACAACTGCTAGCATTATTACAACTGTCAACCTAAACAGCATTGGATTTTCATAAAATAATTGTTAACTTTTATAGAGTCGATTTTGAATGAATGTTGATTAAATCATCATTACCACGCTACTACGAATATACTTCACTGAATCATCTTATTTTGTTTTGTAACTCCAATAAAAGGACAACACGGCAGGTGAAATTGAAGTTAGATAGTGAAGCGCTCTTCAATTTCTGCAATTCTGAGCGTAAATCCAGATGTGATGATCAAAAAGCAGTGCCTTATCACGCATTTCAATTTTGGTGAAGGAAAAAATCAATAATCTCCAGCTACGAAAGCATTCCGTGGACATCCAGCCAAAATAGTACGAATAACGCTAATTTTAAGCTGATACTAAGTTCTTTTCAATGCGAGGCTTCAAGGATTTTCTAAGATTTTCCTTAATGGAATTATATGAGCAAAATTTCAGATTGCGTTAGAATGACAGCACTGCCCAACGTCAAATGTGTTCAGCCTCTGAAAAATTTCATTTCATATTTTCAACTTTGTGGCACCTCAGTTAACCGGGAAAAGCACGTAAAAACAAAAGGAAGAATCGATACATAATCGGAACTGTAATCTATAGGAGAAAATATGGTTTTTTTTTCTTAATGAGATACAGATGCGTCCAACACAAGAAAAACTTTGTTAGAAATTCTCGGATCTATATTTCCACTTTTCACTTTCGTACTTCATTTAAACTCCATCTGTGGTTTGGATTTACGACGTTGCGCTTGAAAAGTTTCAATCCGCAAGCGAGCATGAAGCAAGCTTTATGTGTCCAACCTCGTGTCCTTTTGAAAACTCTTCCTGAATTTACATCTACGGAACAATGTTGGATTTCTGCTTCATAATCACAATTTATGAAACTGGTACTTCAAGGAGAAAGTGTTTGCGGTTACATAAACCAGTTAAGGTAAATGACTTGCATGAGTCAACTGTATACTAGGTTGAGAAAAAAGTTCCTTAACGCCAGTTGAAGGCTCAGATTTTATGCCTGTTTCATACAGTACCAGTTCTTGCAAATTCATGGGAATATCTCAGAAAATTTCCGAAAGAACCCTCTACTAACGCTAGTGATACTGCACTAGATTTTGATTTACTCTTCGGAAATCAATTGATGATGATGAGCTAAATTGAGCTCCGAGTCTTAATACGTTATTGGTGGAAGGGACAAATTTCGAGTGGAGATGCTGCGAGATTTGTGGTGCCCAAGGTGAGGGAACTGTGAGCCATGTGACTGTTGCAAAGTGGTCCAACCGATTTGAAAGTGATGATCTTAGTCTCAAAGACCAACCACGTTCCGGCGGACCATCAAACGATGGACGATGGAGGTCTGCAAGCAGTTTTACATGCGAAACCGTCATTGAGCATTAGTGAATTGGCAATAAAACTTAGCATCGTTCAGGAGGCGGTCTGGAATCCTCTCCAACAACTTGACTTTTCCTCAGGAAGCCTCGCCCTCGCAAATTGACTTGAAGCTCAGGCTAATCGCCGAGTTGAAGTTTGCCGTCGGTTGTCACAGAACCCGCTAAACGATCAATGGAAGCGGATCGTTACTTTGGATAAGAAGTAGGTCTACCTGAGCAATATAAATAACGATGGTCTATACTTGGAAGAATGATTGTTGTTGTTTTTGAATGAATTTACGCACAACCTTCAGTTTTTCAGCGGGTGATAGGGAACTTTCTTCTCTCAACCTAATAAAATCATGTTCATTGATTGACTAACAATGGTCATTTCCAACGGCTCCATTTTCCCATAAAATATCTTTGCTCAATTTCTTGCTTAATTACGCAAATTTTCTTTTTCTTGAATCACATGAATTATATAAACCTGTGAGGAATGTCATTCATAATTGTGCCAAATATGTGTTATTTGTAAGTGACAATTTTGAAAAGAATTCATAAATTTCTCATTCACTTTTTCAATATTGAAATATTAGATATATTGAAATTTGAGCGAAGTCATAAGAAAATACTTGAAAAGAGCAGTATAATATGTCAAAAATACCAGCCGAGAACAATGGAGTGTACAGCATTGCCGATCTAGTGATTTATTCCACTTGACGACATTTGTAAATAGTTCACCGTCGTCTACTCTAAATAGGAGGACTGGTGCACCCCGAGAGGATTGGCTAAAGACGAAGGACCTGCCCGACTGACTAGGCTGCCAAGGCCGAATCACGTATATCGGGTTGCGTAAGAGCCCATTATTAGGCCACATGACATGTTGGCTCAATAGTAATTATCAGATATTTCGCTACAGGTGATTGAATGCATATTTGGCTTTCAAAATGGCTCAATATGTATAGCGTTAGTACTGCCATCCTCCCAGACGAGTTTGGTTACAAATTGCTGAGTTTGGAACGCTAGATTGAACCATCGACCAGATGTTCGTCACAGGGCATTTTTAACCACTGTGCCACGTGAGCTCTGCTAGTCCTTGGAAACTTGAGATAATTTTAGGCCAACTGACGGCGACAGAATGGAAAACGTTGACCGTCAATAGTTTGAAGAAATTCAGTTTTTCTAGGGAACATTCTTATGAACATTGATCTGCCGATGATTCTTCACGTACTAAAAACTCAGTCCTGCTGCAGAAGTGATACACTGAGTAATGAAGGTAGTTCCTCTGATTATGAATTTCCAAGAAGAGAAATAATGAGGCAGATTGTTTATACAATCAATACTGAATTATCAGCATACAATTTTGAGTGAGATCCAGAAAGTAATGCAAACAAACACGCGTCAATATATCTTATCGAAAGGGAACTTAGAAGAAAGACTCGCATGTTGTTTACATTTCTGCTTTCGTTGCACGCCTTTCCCTTAGAAAAGAATAATTCATAAATTGCTTGATGGAAGCAAATTCGCTAATCGCATTACCTTTTGAGTTTTCGACAGCACAGCATATCTTCGGAACAAAACAACTTCAAGTTTTGGTTGTCACCCTTTTTTTTTCTAGAGAGGGGACTACGCATAAACTATGCAATTACCCTATTACCTTTCTACCTCCTCATTAGTCACATTTAACACATTTAAATCTTTGCCACATCAACGCTTTCAGTTTTTTAACTCGAGTTTTCAGAAAGAGTAAGTTCAACTGGCTTTAATTTGAATAATGTCTTTCATTCTTTTGTCTTCACGTTAAACGTTCGCACTCTCTCGCTCTTCTTTGTATTTCACCTTTCATAGAACATTCCTTAATTGTTCCCTAGCCGTTCCCTTCGTGATTTCAATTGTTCATGCTTAGTTCCATTGTTGTTTGATAATGCTGTCCATTAATTTCTTCGAATAGATCCTATTCATTCGATGGGGCAAACTTCCCATCGTTCTGCAATCAATCGCAGATGGAACAGAAATGATCTGCGATAAATTAAATTTTAAGAATGGTACTTTCTTGTGTTTTTTACAGCTGGTTTTCTATTTGCGAAGGAGTTGCCCGACTGATAGTTTTCCATTAAAGATCATTTAGTTATCCGTCTTTTTTCCAATCACGCTCACACTCTCACGCTCAAACTCTTTATCTAAAGAAGTCATCCCCTACATCCCATACAGCATGAAAGCAATCTATAGCAGTGATTCTTATTTTACATGCAAGGCATACACCCTTTTTATATTAATACTGCTATTTTAGACAGTAAAACAGAGGACTCAAAGGTTGTGCCAAATGTCAACACTGTGCTTGCTAACATTTCTAACGCTTTCGTGATTTTCATCTCAATAGTTCGAAAAAATTGTAATTTCTTCTGACGATTTCTGTCTTCTTACGTGGTCGTGTAGTCACCCAAATTTTATTGTTTGTTTAACTTCGTTTTTAGAGTTGCAGCTCTAACTATTCCATTTACTTGGTATATCTTCTTAACTACTACTACTTTTTTACTTGATCTATCAACATAGACGGTAGCACTTCTACACGTATTGGTGAGAAAAGTTCTAAAATTAGTAGAAATTTGCTCCCTGCTATTTCTTCATATTTATGTGCAATTTATTTATATTCAGTCTTTTTATGATGCCCTGAAGCAGCGCTCAGCTCTGTTTTCATGGAACGGCCGTTCTCACGAAAAGAATATAACGGCTTCAAAACAATGCAACGCCTTCGTGAATCGACCTTTGGGCGAATTGCTTCACCTAAACTCTTCTTGCTTTGATTACAGCTTTACTGATTTTCGATTTTAACGAACTGCTTCACCTAAATTCTTCTTGTTTTTGATTGTAGCATCTGATCTGACTATTCTGTGCTCTATTTATCTTGTGTTTTTATCAAATGTGACGAGTTACCATAATGGGAAAATGAGGCACAACCAGATAGATTAAATTCTATTTGTTGTATAAATATTCGAAAATTGATAAGATGGTCCACACATTCAGGAGTCTTTTGTTTTTCTGAAATCTGAAAATGTTCGCTTAACAAAGTGTAATCACCCAATTGGTAGACTGTTGCAATTGTTTTTCTCAGTTCGAACATTCTTCATATAGATCGTGTTTGAATCAGACTTCTCAAAATTGCCTGCGAATAAGCGAGTTTCCAAAGTTTGATTTCCACGGTAGAACATTCCAAATCGTCCAAACATAGTGTCGTTTTAAGATCAGTTTTGACTTATTAACAGGAAGCCCATTTTACCATCGCAAATAGTTTCATGAGATTCGCTTTCTATTTTTTAGTCCATAAATGAAAAAAAAACCTAAAAGAGTATTAAAAATCCAGAGATGGTCTACGAAACCATAATCACCTGTTTCGAGTGGCTATAAGTACTCGAATAGTATAATGCCCGTACGGCACCGAAAGGGCTAATTATTAAGACGGTTCTCAACAACCACGGTCATCGCTGAAATTTCTGGCATTCATATGCTGGTATCGAAGAGTTGCTCTTTTTTTTTCTTTTGAGTAAAGCAGTATAGCTTCCATAATTGATTATATAAAATAGAGTGTGATAAGTATTAACAAGGGGCTTTTCTCTCGTCGTCTTATGATGTATTTGACTTTTCTTTTTAGCGGAGAACGAATTAGTATTTGCCAATCCGAATTTAAGCAGGAAACAAAGTTCTGAAAAGTTTCGTATGTGACAAAAAAGTAATAGTGCTTGAAAATCTTTCGTTCAAAAGAAAATAAAGTTACACATATACCTAAGAGAATCGGGTGATGATTAAAAACACGGTCTCAGACGGGAATCGACAATCGATATGTAACGCCATAACACTGCGAAAAAAGCAATAAAAATACTATAATTTCGGGGTATTACATCTAATAGTGGCTATCTGCAATTGAGTTCATAAAGGAAAATCGCATACTCGACCAAACCTATTTAAGGTTGATGGCTGATAGCCAACATAGAGATGTTGAAGAATGAATGGTAGTGCAAGTGTGCCTCTGTGGTGTAGTGGTAGTAGTACGCTTTCCCGAGATGGATTAGATGTCGGTTCGATTCTCGCCTGAAGCAGTATTTTTTCTCACCATTCAATTCTCTTAGGTATATGTGTGACATCATAACACTGCGAAGAAAGCAGTAGAAATACTAGAATTGCGGAGAGAAAGTGTCAAACGAAAACAGAATTTGTCATTACAAATGACGGTCTGATTCAGCTAAAACCTTAGTGCTTTAGACTTCAGCTTTAGAGCTTCTGTGACGGTCTAGCAAGATAAGATTTAAGTATCAATAGAGATCCAACTGCCAGACTCCTCACCAAGGATCTCCGTCTTTAAAACGTGGCACTCAGCTTCTTTTTCAAAAAAGCATATGTTAACCAAAAAGACTTCAAAAATAGTTAGCCTGTTAGGCATGCATGTGATGAATGCGGAATCTTACAACACATCGCAAAACGTTCTTGGTTGCTATAAAATTCGCTTATTATTATTATTGTTGTTAATATTATTATTGAAGTTTTCTCCATTGAAAATTAACTACTAGAACTAGATTTGAAAAGGGCCCATTTCAAGCCTTTCTTTCTTATTTCGTATTTAATAACTAACAAACACCTGTTTTGTAATCTACTAGTCGTATGTAAGCCTGATATTAGATAATCAAACCCGAAATGCTTTGATTTTTCTTCCATATTTCACTCATGTAGAGCTCACTGAACACATATCGGCATGACTTTTCCATCAAATTATTTTTGACAAGTAATAATTCTATGAGCGGGATTCTCATGTCTTCGTCCTCTAATAAAAATTTTATCCCCATGTCCTCATAAAATTTGGATAGTTCTTTTTTCCTTCCAAAAATCCTTTTTTCCCTGTAACTTTTTTTTTCCTCTTCAAAATCGCTGCAATGACATCAAATGAAACTGAGCCCTCGGTTACCCTTTGCAGGAACTCAGGTGTTAAGCACGTTGTAATCTAGACCTTCGCTCTGCCTTTCTACCGATCATGCAAGGCCTACTGCTTTTTGAACTCTTTTTCGTTTCTTCTAGCTTTTAACATAAAACACTTAAAGGATAAAGCTCTTGGCGTTGAATAATCCAATCCCAGAGGGATGCGCCAAGCATTCGTCTTCAATTTTTGACTTGATTTGAGGTGATTGTATACAAATCTCGCCCTTACAATAACTCGCGGTGGCCTCCCGCTGTATCGAGTCAGTGCTGCTTATCGTCCCGGACAAGTCTGAGACCTGTCTGGTACCAATTTACCGACCCCAGAGGGGAGGGGGGGTTGGATGGCTTGGTGATCCATGAACGCGAGATTGAATCATTGGCCTCGTGTACGACGCACAGCGCCCCTAATCACTGCGCCACATGCGCCCATAACATAGTTATTCAGAATCAGTGATCCATTTTGAATTTCTAGTAAATTTCTTACGGCTTCAAAAGAATGAGGAGCATAGCGAATCTCTTTGCAAACAACAGTCACAATGTTAGTCGCAGTCTTATTCACGCTTTTTTGCTGTATTGTTTGAGCCACTTAATGACTACTACTGCACAAAACAACATTAAGCTTTTTATTCGGTTTATTTTATTTCTCTATTTCTCTGTTTTTGCTCACCGCTCATTCTCTTAGGAATATATGAACATCATAACTATCATGAATCGATGTTTTAAAACCTCGTTATAAACATTCAAAATCAAATCCAAAAAAAAGAAGAATGGTTTTAGCCTAAAACGAGGTTGGTACGCCAGGGCCATACACCGGGTGTTTCGGAGGCTCGTCTCTTCGTCAGTGACCCCCGCCCCACATTAAGCCCTGCATTATAGCAAGGAGGGAGGCGTATGTGGTAAGTGGTGATGACATAGTGTACTATGACACTGGTCCATCACCATCAGTCGATGTTTCGGCTGGTAGACCAAAACTAATCCATTTTTGGATTTGATTTTGAATGTTTATAACGAGGTTTTAAAAACAGTCGATTCAATGGATTAGTTTTGGTCTACCAGCCGAAACATCGACTGATGGTGATGGACCAGTGTCATAGTACACTATGTCATCACCACTTACCACATACGCCTCCCTCCTTGCTATAATGCAGGGCTTAATGTGGGGCGGGGGTCACTGACGAGGAGGACGAGCCTCCGAAACACCGGTGTATGGCCCTGGCGTACCAACCTCGTTTAGGCTAAAAACATCATAACACTGCGAAAATAAGCAGTAAAAACAATAGAAATTTGGATTATTACTTATCACAATGGCTGCCAACTAAACTGGGTTTATAAAGCGAAATCGCCTACCCGACTAAACTTGTTAAACTGACAGCTAACATAGAGATGTTGAAGAATAAATGGTCGGAAAAATGTGCCTCGATGGTGTAGTGGTGATAGTAGTACGCATACCCGGATAGGATGAAACGCGGGTTCGATTCCCGTCTGAGGCCGTGTTTTTGCTCACCACTCAATATTTTTGGGAATATATATTAAAACCATAACACTGCGCGAAAGAAGGCAGTGAAAACACTAGAAATTTGGATTATTACTTCTCTGGAAAGAACTTTTATATTCTCATAACTAATAAGATGGAAATTCCCACAAACTATGAATAAGGTAAAATTCAAAACTCAAAAAGAAAATCCATTGATTGCAGTGTTCTCAGCCTTGCATAATCAGACCCTCCAATCGAGATTTTCAATGTTTGCTTGTATGCGTTTCGCCTCAGTTTCTCACCATAACTGTTCCATATTCTGGATGCTTTGAATGTGCCTGATACTTTCATTCTACCTTTGTCGTGTTCAAGGTCGACTAACAAGGACTTTTGAGGCACTAATCACTTTCTCAAGTTTGGGATCTCTTGTTGTAAATGCCCATTTGTACCTTGTCGGACTCGCTATTAACAGGCAGAAAATTAATTTCTTGGTGGCTGAGTATCACCTTCCATGCACATCCAGGTCACTTAAATGAGCGCTTTAGACCAAATCAACTGTTAAATCACGATTCACGTCGCCCAGAAACTTATTTAAGCAGCGGGATTGCTAATTGATTAGAAGCGTAACCAACTACCAATATTCTATACCTCTTATGCCTTTCTTAACATCTTTATCTGATTTTATCTTAAAACAAACAAAGAATAGCGTTTTCGTGCAATCACTCTCAAACAAATTCCTTGAACATTACAATTTTAAAATTTGTCCAACTTTTGCATTTTCCGTTTTGATTTCATTTTTAATGGAAGCGTTTCTTCTCCTGTTATCCATAATACGTCATTGTATTGCAATAGCTCTTCTTAACTTCATAAATGTAAAAGAGTGCCGTTTTTTTATTTTGGTGTCAAGTACTTGATAGTGCCTGATTTCTTGAGAGCACTGAGGCTTTAGTAGTTAGTACAATTAGCAGAAATTTTGCACAGATAACACGCGGTTAGTCAGATCATTTCCTTTACAGTTCAGTTTTTCAGTAATGCTTGTGCATGGATTTCTAGCTATCGTTGCTAATGCCAACAGGCGTTGCATATCACTTAAAGAGTTTGTTTTATCCTAATGTTGTTTTCCATTAGTTTTTTCTAATTACCAATTATTCTGATGACATTTTTTGAACTCCTTATGAGGTTATGAATCTTATAAAGTGCAAGACACGTGCTTCGACATCACAACCTCGTCGTATACACCTAAGAGACATTACAGACAGGCATTACAAAATCCAGTTGCACGGTGTCTTTCGATTTAGTGAGTCCCTGGCAAGATATACCCTCGTAGAAGAGCAGACGCCGAAATATTTACACGCTCGCCAAGTGATAAAATCGTAGAACGGACAGAGCTGTACACTCGATTGCTCGTGGCTGGTAAAACCTGATTGCCATAACTTTTGTTTTGAGTGTTTTTGAGACCTCGCTCAAAACAGTTAGTCTGATAACATTTTTTGAGCCATTCATGAGGTCTGTTATGGCCCTTATAGACTACAAGATACGTGTTTCGGCATCACAGCCTTATCAGTTGCACGGTGCCTTTCGGTTCAGTTAGTTCCGCGGTTAAAATCAATATAGGATTATATTGTTTCGAGCGATGTCTCAAAAACACTTGAAACGAAAGCTATAGCAATTATGTTTTACCAGCCACGCAAAAGCGAGTGTACAACAGCGCCATTTCGATGATTTTATCACGTGAGGACGCATGTAAATATTCCGGTGTCGCCTCTCTATGCAGGTGATATTTCCCGCGGAACTGACTGGTCCGAAGGGCACCGTGCAACTGATGTGGGGCTGTAATACCGAAGCACGCATCTTTGAATGTATCAGTAACGTAACAGACCTCATGAAAAGGTCAAAAAATGATTATCAGATTATATTTTCTTTAGAGGAGGTCTTAACAACACTCGAAACGTGAGGTACAATTATTTTATCTGTGCTCCAATGCATAATAGAATTTAGTAACATGTCACTGAGTTAACAACACATTCTGCATGAGCTGGACGCATTAAGGTTTCATGTAAAATACAGAAGTTCCTTTAGAAATTTATACTTGGAAAGTTGCTTAGCTGTACTGCAATTTTTTTTTCTTTTCTTCATGGGAACCGAACGATAGGACAATTGTCTGAAGGGACTAGTTCAACACACCTTTTTCCTGCTCCCACATAGACATCGTGTTCCAGTCGAATAGAAAACGCTCTCTCCGGAATGAGTTACACATCCTCTGTCTTGCACTTGCACTTTCTCCAACACTTCTGAGATTCACTGCATTTTTATGAGATGGGATCTCATGAAGTATTTGCATATTTGCCTTGCAATGTGTGTCTCAATAGCGGCTTGTTTCATGTGGCATGCACAATTTCCCATTGTGAAAAAAATTGGAAAACTTCTGATTATGAGGTATGTAAGAAAAACTTCGATCTACCGATCTATGAATATGGATGGTCTATGTCTTGTGTTTTCTATGTTACGTGAATCATTCAAACATTCTTGTTGGTATTTGAACGCTTCCTGCAGCTTATGTTAGGTCTACTCCAGTGTCTTGTACTTCCCTAAATTCCATACAATAATTACAATCTATGACTCTCTCATTTTTTGCTTATTTTCCAGTGTTGCGATGTTCTAATTATGCGCCGAGAATTGAGTGGTAAACGAAAATTCCACCTTAGCTGGGAGCTTAACCCGCGCTGCAGCCACAACGAGAGCGCGCCGACCACTACATTAATTATGATTTACTAAAAATTATATCTGAAACAACAGTCAATTTTGTTATTAAGTTACAGCTGAACAAGCTTTTTCTCTGAAGAGGTTTTAAATCATATACAAACAGAGCTCTTTCCGGGTGACTCCACGATGTAAATATGTGCTGTGTAAGCTATCTCTCACTAAGGAAGGGTACTTATAAATAAGCTATTGAAAAGAGAATGACTCATAAAAGAATTTCAAGTCACTGGAATAGTGCGTAATTGGATAGAATGGCCACTGTTATATATAATACTCATGCAATATTCATTGTTGTACGTAATATTAGTATTATACAAGTTTACATCTATATTTGTAGAAGTCATACATTTTGAACCTTCTTCTGTTCATATGATTGAAATTGAGATCATGTCTGGATACTTCCCTCTGCCTCACAAAGATATTCCCTAGCTACATCCAAATTTATCTCCATCTCCATTACTCTCCACATATATAACCTAACATGCTAGCTGATGATGCTCAGCGATTCCCTAGAGCGAGGAGGACCCACGGGGCTACTCTTGCGCGCGATAGGGAAAAATGGAAGAGTTGCTAGTACCCGCTCGAATCACTCGACGATCAACAGGACGACAGGTGATACAGGTGATACATGCTAGCTAGGGCGCATGCGGCTCAGTGGTTAGAGGTGCAATGTGTCGCACACGAGGTCAGATGTTCGAATCTCGCGCTCATGACTCACCATGCCATCCATCCTTCCATAGTCGACAAGTTGGTATCAGACGGATCTCAGACTTGTCTGGGAGGAGTAAGCAACACTGACTCGGAACAGCGTGAGGCAGTCGCGAGCCATTGTAAAGGCCAGATATGCATTCAATCACCTATAACGAAAATAGAGTTTGAAGACGATGCATGGCGCTTTCCTCAGGGATCTCGTTGAGAGCTTTATGCTTTAGCTTCATCCTTTTTACATATTATCTATGACTGAGTGCTCCATTCCAGTAGGCTCGGCTCGGTGCGACTGCCAAATACCTTCATAGAGGGGCGGGCATAAACGACTGAGGGCAATCGCCTCGAATCGTCGCGGCTCTGGAGAAGACGAAGAAAAAAAATGTAGTCAAATAAAAGTTTGTAATATACTCTCTCTTTAGCTTTATCATTCAAGAAGCTATTGATCAATCATGCTGAATTAAGGATAGTCGGTTTTCACATCATTAGCTGCTATTCCTTGCTAACGTTTCATTTAGAGCACTTTCTCACGTTCACTATAATGTGCGATGAAACGCCTTTTAACAGTTTATTTCTCAGACTAAAAAAGAAATATATAATCTCTTCGTCTCAAGTTCCATCTTTTCTTATTCAGCGGTAGCTTCACATAGGCAAATAAATAACGATAGCCTTCTTTCACTGGACTTCGTACTTTTCATCCTTATACAAATGTATATCTCAGTCACCTATATCGATTTATAATTTTCTATTCCTTCACTAGAATCTGTGGACCTCTTCTTCAAGCATTTGTTATACTTTATTTATTGAAACTTTACCTGATTAGTCTTCACAGTGCTTTTTTTCGCTGTGCGGATCCCCGTACTTCAAGCACTCAATTGCTTTTTCGTCTTCTTTTTGAGTGACGTAAAATACTGGTCGAGCATGTCTCCTTGCAATCTCGAGGGTAGTCTTGCTGTGGCGTTGCATAGGGCGCCGCAGAGAGTTGCGAATGGAACTTGGCTCCACGCGCGCCGCGTCGAGCCTCACAATTACTCGACCCAGCGCCCTCGTTACGGTTTTATATCAACTACATATATGCGCATATGCATATATACATAACATACATATATATATATATGCCTCAAATCACTGTGCTATTTCAGCCGCTATGTATATATGGGTTCCATGCAAAACACACATTTAGTTCATTCATCTCACTCTCCAAGCTCCTCGTGCCCTCATCGATTGATAAATTCAAAAGTTCGACTTTCTATAAACCTTGGCATAATTATTTGTTATATGAAAATCGAGAAGACTTGTCTTGATTAGCTGACGTGAGGTTGGTAAATTAGTCGTAGAAGTTCGGCTGACGTTTCGGCGACCCGCCTTCTTCAGAGCCTGGGACGTATGTAGTATTAGTCTATTTGAATGATTCGGATGGTCTTATTTATATGCTGCCTAGGTCAAGTTATAAGATCAAACGAAGGAAGGGCGCGAGATCTCGCGTGATGGTGACGCACTCGTCCTTCCGGTTCATTTCGGGATTTTGGGCGTTTATCCAAAATGCCTCAA